CTACCACTTGAGCCACAGCGCCACTTCTGGCTTTTTCTGCTTATGTGGTGCTGAGGAATGGAACCCAGGGCCTCATGCATGCAAGGCAAGCACTCTACTACTGAGCCACCTTCCCAGCCCCAATCAGGTCATTCTTGCTTTTTGTGCCAGTATTGAGGCTTGAACTGAGGTGAGGGCCTGGGCGCTATCCCTTAGCCTTTTTTTTTTTTTTTTTTTTTGCTGAAGGCTGGTGCTGTACCACCACTTGACTCACTGCTTCACTTCTACCTTTTTGCTGGTTCATTGGAGATAAGAGTCTCATGGCCTCCAACCAGGATCCTCAGATCTCCGCTTCCTGAGTAGTCAGGATTACAGGCATGAGCCATGGGCACCAAGCAGAATGTCCTTTAATACCTTCTATTTAGACACACAGTGAGTCCAAACGAGGATACTCTTAGGAGGGGAACACAAAGGAGCAATGCTTAGATGTTTTGTTGCTGTTTTTGTTCTTTTTGTGTTGTTTGTTCATTTGTGTGTCTTTGGGAGGGTGAGGGGGGCAAGCAATGGAGGGACAAAAGGTGAACAAATGCAGCAGTGGTACTCATTGGACACCATGTTGATAATGAACTGTAGGTACAAACTTGGGGTGGGGAGAGAAGGGAAAACCAGGGGAGCTCAAGGGAAGGGATAACATTGGGAATGTGGCTCAGTGGTAGAGCGCTTGCCTTGCATGCATGAGGCCCTGGATTTGATTCCTCAGCACCACATAAGCAAAAAGAAGAAAGCCGGAAGTGGCACTGTTGCTCAAGTGGTAGAGCACTAGCCTTGAGCTGAAGAGCTGAGGGACAGCGCCCAGGCCCAGAGTTCAGGCCCCATGACCGGACCCCCCCCCTCAAAAAAAAAAAAAAGCTCAGGGACAGTGCCCAGGCCCTGAGTTCAAGTCCCAGGACTGGTGAGAGAGAGACAGAGAGAGACAGAGAGAGAGGAGAGAGAGGGAGAGAAAATGTACTCATTACCTGACTTATGTAACTATAACCTCTCTGTACATCACCTTTATAACTATATATGTATATATTAGCTCATATATATATATATATATATATCTTTTTTTTGCCTGTCATAGGGCTTTAATTCAGGACCTGAGCACTACCTCTGAGCTTCTTTTGCTCAAGGTTAGCACTCTACCACTTGAGCCACAGCACCACTTCCAGTTTTTTGTTTTTTTTTTCTGTATATGTGGTACTGAGGAATCAAACCCAGGACTTCATGCATGCTAGAAAAGCACTCTACCACTGAGCCACATTCCAAGCCCTAAACCTATTTGAGCCAGCTGCTGATGGCTCATGCCTATAATCCCAGCTACTCTGGAAGATGAGATCTGAGGATCATGATTCAAAGCCAGTCCAGGCAGAAAATCTGAGACTCTTATCTCCATTCAACCACCAAAAAAAAAACAACAGAAATGGAGCTATGGCTCAAGTGGTAGAGTGCCAGCCTTGAGCAAAAAAACCTGAGACAGTGCCTATACCTCAAGTTGAAACCCCAGCACTAACCAAAAACCAAAATGAAACCACCACCTTTCTATGTAGCTATTCTGGAGGTCACAGCCAATGCGATAAGGCAAGAAAAAGAAAAAGGAAAAAAAATTGGAAAAGCAGGAGCAAAACTTCCTTGGCTTACAGGGAAGGTTGGGAAGTGTGCAGAGGTCTTCAGGGAGGTGTGCCTGCTTGTTGGAGGAATATGCAGCGGGGGCGGGGGGTCAGTGTGGCTTCCATCCACTTATGCTGGACACTCGGGGCTGCGTGCAATCATGAGGAGGAAAGTTGAGGTTTCAGAGGGTTGAGTTCAGCACTCAAAGATGAGACATCGGGGACCAAGCTGGGGCAATTTCACTGGATACATATGCGAGAAACCTGCCATGTACAAAGTGCTTTGTGAACGATCCTTTCATCGTGTACAAGCACTGGGGCTTGAACTCAGGACCTTGTCTTTATTCAACTTTCTGGTACTCTTACCACTTGAGACACACCTTCAGCTCAGCTTTTTGCTTGCTATTTTGGAGATGGAGTCCCCCGTACGTATTTGGCCCAAGCTGGCTTTTGAACTGTGACCCTCAAGGCCTCAGCCTCCACAGCAGCTGGAATTACAGGCGTGAGCCACCGGTGCCTGGTTGTGAGCAGTTTTTTGTTTTTTGGTTGTTTTTTTTTGTTTAGTCAGTCATGGGACTTGAACTCTGGGGCTGGGAGCTGGCCCTCAGCTCTTCAGCTCAAGGCTAGCACTTGAGCTACAGCACCACTTCCGGTTTTCTAAGTGGTTCATTGGAAATAAGAGTCACACAGAGTTTCTTGCCCAGGCTGGTTTTGAACTACAATTATCAGATCTCAGCCTCCTGAGAAGCTGGGGTTACAGGTGCAAGCCACTGGCATGGTGAGCAGTGTTGAGCATGGAGGACCCTCACTGAAGCTGGGAAGGGGAAGAAGAGGAAACACTGGCCAGGGAATCGCAAGAAGAGGCCGTGAAACTCCCAGTAGTGAGGTTTTGTTGTGTTGCTAGAATACCAACAAGTTAATTCTGACAGGGTTCTGGGGTCTGAGGTAGGAGCAGTAAGTGACTAGAAATCAATTTTGGGGAATGGGTAGGGGATACCACCCAGTTATCTGGACGGGTTATTCCCATACTGCACCCCCTCCTCCTGGCTTTTCCCTCTTAGTCCTTACTGTTTCCTTATTATTTATTATTGCTGTTGTTATTAGTGTGTATGTGTGCCAGTCCTGGGACTTGAACTCAGGGCCTGGGTGCTGTCTGTCCTTGAGGTTTTTTTTTTTTTTGCTTGAGCCACAGCTCCATTTCCACCTCATTGGAGACAGATGAGTCTTAAGACTTTCCTGCCAGACCTGGCTTTGAACAGCGATCCTCCATTCACTCCCCAAGAATGTTGAGCTGAGTACCTGATAGCAGCTCAGTGCCTCTGGCAAGTACCTTCTTCAAGCAGGGAAGTTTAGTGAATAAGTACAGTCTAGCCAGGCATGGTGGTGCACACCTGTAATCACAACACTTGGGAGGCTGAGTCTAGAGGATTGTGAGTTTGAGGCCAGCCTTGGGCTACATAGTGAGATGATATGTTAAACAGAAAACTGCACAGGTCTTCAAGAGCCAAACCACCTGCTGCTACTCTGTGGCTGTGTGATCTTGGATAAGAGACCCACCCTCTCTGGTTCGGACTGGTCTGCGGTGTCAGGGGCTGTGTGGCTGGAGGTTCTCGTCCCTGACTCTGGCTAAGATGCGAGGTGGGGGGAGGTGCCCCCCTCCCCGCAGACCCCTCCCCTCTCACAGGCTGAGGTCGCAGCTGACGCTGGTCTGCAGCAGGTAGGCCTTGGCGTTCTGTACGGCCAGTTCACGAGGCTCAGGCTCCGGCACGTCCCTGGTGAAGGACATGAAGGCCGGCTCCGAGGGCCCCAGCGTAGGGTCGTCCCTCAGGTAGGGCCCGTGCTGCGGGCTTTCTTCGAGTTCCTGGTCGTCGTCGGGGTACAGGTTGTACTGGGTGAGGAGGCCGACCCCCGGCTCCTGGTAAGGAGACTCCATGGGCTGGTAGAGGCCCGGGCTCATGGGGAGGCCGCTGGCGAACTCGGCTCCCTGGTAGGCGAGGGGCTGGTACTCGGGGGCGTAGCCCATGTCCATGCCTGGGTAGTCCAGGCCGCCCATACCTGCGTCCTCCCCCGGGTAGGCCTGGTACATGGGCATGCCGGCCTGGTATGCCGGGCCGCCCATCAGGTCCTGCTCATCCTCGCCGTATTCCTCGCCGTATTCCTCGGCCTGCTCCCAGCTGCCTTGTGGCTGCCCAGGGGGCTGGGAGCCCCTCCGGGACGAGGGGTCCCCCATGCTTCCAGACCGGGAGGAAGCTCGCCGAGCGGAGCCGAGGATCGGCGGTGACCGGCGGTTACCGGGGCGCGGGGCTTGGGCGCGCGGGGGTCCCCGGGCCAAGCGGCGCGGGGCGCGGCACAGAGGACGGGGCAGCGCGCCCTGAGCGCCATCTCCTTTATTTGTTTTAAGGCAAAGCCCCCGCCCGCCCCCCCGCACCCCCCCACCCCGTCAGCTGTTCCCCTGGGTCTCAGGCTCCCCCGCCTCCTCCGCGGCCGGGCTGGGGGTCTTGGCGGCTTCGTCCCCCGCGGGGCCGAGGCTTGGCGGGCTCCGCGGCTCCTCCTTGGAGGCGGGCGCTCCGGGGGCTGCCTCCTGCGGCGGGGAGGG